GATCTTGGTTCCTTTCATAATCGCGCATATCCGAACGTAATTTCCTGAATTATGGCCCCTGATTGTTCGAAAACTCTCATTTTTAGCTTTCGGATTCTCTAGAGGTCACAATTTTTTCCGATTTTAACAGTTTAAATATATCACCATTCCACCATAATGGTGGTTGAAGTCGAATGTCGGAATAATTGAAATGGAACTGCTCAACGAAATGGCCGCTCTTTGTACGCAAATTGTAATACAGAGGTTGTGGACCCTCTAGAGGTCACAATTTTTATCCGATTTTGATGAAACTTAAAAACATATCTTTATATCCCAAAGATCTCAGTCCCTATTGATATTTGCGCATTTCATACCATAACTTTCTGAATTATTGCCCCTTATTGTACAAAAAATCTCGTTTGTTTTTAGCTTGTTCTCTGTCCTTCTCTTGCAAAATGGTGGCGTATCCTGCCTGGCAGCCGCTGGTTTTTGTTTCTCATTACATGGATAAACTCAACAGTAATACATTTTAAGTAATCATCTATTATCATTACCATCACTAGCTTCTGTTTACATATTTGTACACTCTCAGGCCTTAAACCAACATCAAACATTATGTATATCAAATAACCTTTGTATTTGTAAAAATATTGTATTCTTTCATAATTTTATTAATAACACAATATGAATAGTTTCGACTATATACATGTATTTAAGTAAACTAATTGTTATTATATTGTTTTGTTGAAGGGACAGGGGTGATATTATGCATAGCCGTTCCCAAATCCTATTCTTAATGAATAAAATATAGTTGTTTTTTTTTAAACAAAAACAAAACAGACCAGAATATTCCAAAATACATAATCACACGGTTCAAAGGCGAGTTCATCCATAGTCAGTTGTAGTTAGCATATACATGTGTTTGCAAATGGCACTGTTTCATCACAGAGTATATGTTGGATTCAAGTTGTTGCTGTTCACAACTAAACTTTGTAATTGTCCCCTATGACGTAAGGTAGACGCTAATTAATGCAAATGAAGCCGCACACGTTTTCTCTGGCCTTTCCCCTGTTGCTCCCCCAAAACCAATCTCTGTTACGAATACCCACGTCCCCGACTATGTCTAACTAACGCAACAAAATAATATAAACCATTCACTAGTATCACTTAAAATACAGATCTGACGTCACCCTTTGATGTTGGCGTACCATTATTTCAAATAATCGTACATTATTTATACTAGTGAAATATTGAACTCGCGTGACGTATTTCACCGTAAAAGCACTTGCGGAGTGTCTGTATTTGTTGATCCGATATCCTCTCGTAGGTCGCACATCTCATTTTTGACGATCTGTGTTTGCTGGAAAAGGTTATTTATCTTAACCAAATAATCCATTCATTCCCTTGTTTTTACTCATTCTATACTTAATTAAAACATGGTAATGCACGGACTTTTTCTATTTGTCTCTTATCTAGTGACCTTCAATTTTTTTTTTTTTTTTTTTTTAATTGTCAGATATCCTGCCACGGTCTGATATAACAACTTTTGGTCTTCGAAGGAATTATAAGTGAGCAGAAATTCGCCCGTGTATCTGTTATTACTCGTTACTTCAGTCACTTCCGTATCTTGAAATCTTCCTAACGCATCTCTGTGTTAAAATTATATTTGGAACGTGCGTCCTTTAAATTAGCACATAAACATCTGGCAATAATTTATGCCAAACCCAACATGATTAAAAGCTATTCAATCAAAAATAACCTTTTGTTTTTCACAAGCAACTGTCCTTTAAACAGTTAAACAAAATTTTCATTTTATTTATTTATAGATGATTACCCCGTTGATATACTTTGATGAAGTTTAATTTTATTTCATTTTATTTGTTTATCACCCCGTTGATGTAATTTGGCGTATTTTAATCTTAATTATGTCAACAGATGTCACACAAATTAACATTACAATAAAAAAATATAACACGTCTTTATCTCAACAATAAATTTCATGCTTTGATGCCTTCAAATTCACTGTAGGGATAGCGTTTTGGGGGTTATTTGTGTAGTTTATTTTTACAAAATAAGAACAAAATCTAGATTCTATCGATCTAAATTTTAATAAAACAAATTATATAAAATTTAAAATTAAATAAAATCTATATAAAGTTTATATTTAATAAAATCTATACTCATCCAAATTAAAAACTTAACACTCGGGATTTTTGGGACTAGATTTTTAATATTTGGTTTAAGGCAACTATTTTAGTGTTATGATGTGCACAGACGGCCTTGACATCAACAGAAAGCAAGAATACGTCTCGCCGAAAGTCCTTGACATTGATAACGTTCGTGATGTCACAGTACCACCCAAAATGAAATTCACAGACTTGGAGAACAATCGGAATAAAGTCTTTAGTAACGTCTTCTCTTGGATCTCAGAACATTAGTAAACACTACCCGAGGAAGACGTCGCCACTGCTCAGCAAGAGCATGTTGAAGGTCCTGCAACGTCAGTGGTGGATTCACTTGCTGACGAACACGTCGACCAAGTTCGTCCCAGATGTGTTCAACAGGATTAAGGTCGGGACTAAGCGACGGCCAATCCAGGACTTGGACACCGGCATTTCTTAAAAAATTCTGGGTAGCAATTGCTGTATGGGGTCGAGCATTGTCTTGTTGAAACGTTAGTCCAGGCCAATGTCTCTGCATAAACGGAAGAAGAACAAGTTGCAAAATCTGATCCCTGTACTGGACAGCATTTAAGTTCCCTTGGACAACAACAAGAGGAGAACGTCCATGTGCACAAAAAGAACCCCAAACCATGACGCTGCCGCCTCCAAATCGGTCAACTTCTCTGACGCATACTTGAGCGTAACGTTCACCTCGTCTGCGGTACACTCGGACCCTGCCATCGGCAAATCTCAAAGTGAATCGAGATTCGTCACTAAAGACAACCGAATTCCACTGTAAATCTTATGTGTCTTGTGGCCCACACAGGTCGGTTACGGCGATGAAGAGGTGTCAATAATATTGGTCCATTATAAGGCCTCCGAGCTCGAAGACCAGCAGCCTGCAAGCGATTTCGAACAGTTTGTGCAGTTACCCTTCCACCAAACATCTCTCTACTTGTGGAGGTTGCAGTGACAAATCTGTTTTAAGATGACTAAGTCGTATTGCTTGATCTTCCTGGAGTGACGTCACACGTGGCGCTCCCGCCCTTGGGCGGTCGACAATAGTTCCAGTTTGAAGCACTCTCATTCTAAGATTAATTATTGTCTGGCGTGAGCAATTAAAGGCTCTTGCCACAGTGACCACAGACTGACCAGCATAGAGCCTAACAAAGATGAAAATAACAATTTTAATTTGTTTTTCCAGTTCAAGTTACGTGTGCGTGTTCAGTTTAAGCAAACTTGCATCGATTGACCTCACGAGTTTGTGTTTACACGTGTTTTTCAGGTTATTCATCTTTATATGCTCAAAAGTCACGTGATCCACGTGACTTTACAATTTTATGAAATTAAAGGCTTCTTACTACTTACTATCGTTAGAAACACTTTATTTGACTTGCCAGAAAAAAAAATTTGTTGAAATTCATCAGTGTCAAGTTTTTAATTTGGCTGAGTATATATAGAATTTAAAATTAAATAAATCTATATAAAATTTGAAATAATCTATATATAAAAAAAAATAACAAAATAGAAAAAATAAAAAAAAATCTAAAAAAAATTACTAATTATAAAATTTTAAATAGGGTTGTGCATACATATATTCCGATATTTTGACCTAAGACCTTTAGAGTTAATCTTCGCAGGTGTATATTTTCTGTTTTACTCATCATATAATATATATGTTATAATTTTGCTAATCATTACTCCCAGATTAAAGACACTATCCTGGTCACGGATCTCTAAAAAGAGAAGACTGTGACACTACAGGGAGGGTTACGTCGTGACTATTCTTCGTCACGGCATCGAAAAACATACATGTGACACTACGGGGACGGACGTGACTATCTAATCAGGAACTTCCAGAAAACGGCCCGTGACACTTCTAGGCAGGACTTTACGTTGTGATCAAAAAACACTGGAACACATTGTTGGTGTAACTATGTGTTATATATCTTTATAACATCCATAATGCAATGGTTACATACAGGAAAACACACAGCTATGGCATTAAATATAAGCTAACTATAAGTTCTCTATCCCCAAGCTTGTATTTTGCGGCGGTGTTACCCAGCCTCTCAGCCGAGGAGGCTGTGGAAAGGTTCTTCTGAGAATAATAATAGATGTATTAAGGGAAATTAGATCTCGCTCATTCTTATATACAAAGTATAGATACGTCAGCTAATATGGCGGGGCAATTACCATTTTTGGGTAAGGTTTCGTATGGGCACCGTTTTACGTTAACGTAATTCTATTTATTTGGACTAATCTGTGGACGAGATGACTGGACGATAGTACCCTACTTTCGGCAATTGATGATGGCAGGAACTGTCTGTTAGTTAGTCTAAGAAACTTGAATCTTGCAAAATACCTACTTAGCCCATTTGTTTAACCACTTCTATATATTATACAGAGCACCTTATATAGAACTAAAATAACCCCTATAGTATTAAACGACTTTATAGTTGACACATTGGGGCACAGGCGGATCACCAATCAACACCATTTTCATCCATCCCCTAGACTCGCCACAATAGGTAACGAAAATTTGACCCAAAAATGACCTGAATAAGGGGAAATTGGCCAAACATCACACAGGGGCTGTATCTCAATAACCGTGAAATTTTGAGATCGGCCCTTCGGGCTGTGAAGTAGTCACGAGGAGTCCATAAAATCCGCAATCTTCTCGATTATGCACGAATTTGCATGGTTTTCTCATGGAATGGCTCTTGAATATTTTTAACGACTGTCACATAAATTATTATCATTATAATAATGATAATAGAAAATCAATAACACCTCTTTATCTCAAAAAATAAATTTCATACTTTGATGCCTTCAAATTCACTATATAAGCAATGATTATAAACTTTGGGTATTATTGGCGGCTATCAGCATTAGATTGTTCATAATTTGTACAGTAAAGGTAAGTATATTATGTTCATTTTTCTTAAACTTAAAGCACCGTCTAAAGAAATGTCTTTATCATCCAATAACATATTCTACGGTGTGATAAGTTTCATATTCTACTGAGTGATGTATTATAGGAGAATCTTCTACTCAGCCTCGTTCTTACCTTATCGTGTTGATATATTTTGACGTCTTGTTGATTTCATATTTAACGTTCAATACATAAGGCATGATATTATGGACAGCCCATTTTTCGTCATTTTTTTTATTTGAACGGGATCGTTGTGCTATAAATATTACTTGTTTTTTTTTGTCATTATGTAAGGATAAAAGAAATACATTATTGGTTTTAAATGTGGGGTCACTAAATTGGGACCGGTCATACTTTTGCCGAAATTTGTTTTCGCTTGATTGCACCAAGATATATGAGTTTAACCACTTAGCAAGCTTTTCGCATGATACCCAAATCTAAGGCCTTTAAAATCCCGGGGTTCTCAACACTCAACGAGGCAAGTGATGCCACATCTGAACGAAGACCAACGCAACAACGCTATTAGTCGGTTACAAACAGGTGAATACCAGACAGATGTAGCCATGCTGCTGAATGTTTCCCAGGGTACCATTTCTCGCCTTTAGGATAGGTACCGACAGCGAAGTTCAACACGTGACCGCCCAAGCTCAGGCCAAAGAAGAGTGATCCTACCTGCCCCGGATCCTCACATCCGGTTACGTTATTTGCGGAAACTGTTCGCAGCAGCAATTCCTGGACGGCGTAGGATCTCAGACCAGACAGTCCATAGACACCTACGCGAAATCGTATTACGAGCTGTTGTTTTGAAATATGCCGACACCGTCAAATCCGGCTCCAATTGGGTTCAGACACACGGGGTATGGCCACAGCAACGCTGGAGAACAGTTTGCTTCAACGACGGGTGGCGGTTCCTGTTGCAATGAGGCGATGGTAGAGCGAAGGTGTACCGACGACGCAATATCACTATGCGTTTCTTTTTTTGAAGAGTATATATAGAAGATAGGTAAAACACTAAAAAATAAAAAGTTCTTGTCTATCCAAAAGTCACATTAAAATACAGTTTTAAAATCGCTGCCGTGAGAAGAGAGGGCGGGTCATCTTCGAACTTTGGATCTGTGGAGTATTTACAAATAAACATGTGCATGTGGTTCATTCCATATAATAAAAGTTAGCTAAAAAGTCCTTTGACACAGATCACAACTTCGGTATTTAAAATCATTTATTTTCTGCGGTCCATTAATTTTTTTTCTGTGACTCTTCCCAGATAAAAGTTACCTTAAAGGGGAAAGGAGAGCCAGCAGCAGCACAGAACAGAACAATTTAAACATTTATAAGAATAGTACATTGCACTAAATACAAATAATATAGATTTATATGCATTGCCAATAAAGGGTTGTGTAGATCCCTATTCCCTTTGTCATTATTATTCGATTATACTGTTATATTAAATCATACAGTAGGCTGAACCGCCACACTTTCCTACAACAATAGTTCCTTCCTTTGTAACTATATATTATGTAGTTCCCTATCTTAATGTCAATCTATTCTGATATTATTAAAGCACCCGGATGGCTTAGCCGCCAACCTGGTCTACACAACCAGTTATCTTTCCATGACTAGTGCACTTTTCTGCAACTTACTTAACAGCTTCCCGATTCTGCTATGAATTTTGAGATCGCTTAATAAATTTTATGTGACTTATTCCGAGGGGGGGGGGGGGGGGTAGAGGACATTTTGGGGGTCTATTGAAGTTTGGCATCTTCATTTAAAATTCTTACAGGGAGTCTTTTATCTTCCAATTTATTGCATGTAATGATTACCGGTCAAAATGTGGCCGCATTCGCACTTCACTGGCTTATATTTATGGTCGGTAATTAAATCTTTAGTTCTAAGTCTTGTGATTAACCTACAAATTTTGCGCGGTGGGTGATTGGTCTCCGTCTTCACAACAAGGTTGTTATTTAATTTGAATCTAAAAGTATTTGCTTTGGCCAATTCAGTTTTCCATTGTGATTTAATTTTAGTTTAGTTTTAACAATGCTAATTAATTCCTGAATGCTGTATTTTAAGTCCTTGGTTTCGCAGAGGCTGAGTCCTTTGCGAGCCAGATTGTCTGCAGACAATGTGTATACCATAACATGTTTACAGAATGGACTCCAGTGTGTGTACCTGAAAAGGAGTAAAGCGGCCTTCCGAACTTTACGAGGGTTACCCGGGTGATCCGAGACCTTCCCACCTTTGAAATAGATATATATTTATATATGTGAGTCCCGACATGATCTCGGTCACATAAACATCTAAACACATTTGAATATATGTGTATTCCAATTTATATTATTTCCAGCATGGCTGAGGTAAAGACTTTGTTGGCAGGATTGTTGACTCTATGTTTGGTTAATTCGTGCTTTTGGTAAGTTCAGATAAAAAAAAATCAATTTCAGCTTCGAAAATATAGAATAAATCACAATATCGCCTATAGCTTAACCCGACTTTATCACACTTTGGGCCGTATGATGGCTGAGGATGGCCATTATTATGTTGACCATCGACGGCTAAAAGGGCGAAAGGTGATCGATACGATAAAATGCATAATTGCGCAATTAGAGTCTTTGTGTGTAAGTAGTAGTTAACTTACTTCTAATTAACAAATAAAAAAAGCATATGTTATTCGTTATATATTTTAGCAATGCTTGGGATCATTATATAGAAAATCTCACACAAGGTCCACATATAGATACAGCTTCCATAATTGGTCTAGATGGATCCAGACGTACATCACCGAACGGCGCACAGGTAATATATCGAATTAAAACTCATCCATTTTTAGTTTGTTAGGATAAAGCATGGGAATTCAACTCTAGACTATAGAATAATGGAGTAACTAGCCGAGTTCTTCAAAAGTCAAGAGATAGCATACTCATAATATCCTTTCTTATGTGAGACACTCACACTACAACTCATGTATCATTTAGTTGTGTTGTTTTGTCAGGAGTTTCTGTATTTATGTAGTTTTAAGCCATTGTTTGGTTTATAACTGTTTAGTTTCTCAAAAGGTGTTGAGTAATTAACAGACTAATGAATTACTCGACCCTGCTCTAGAAACTAAATAGTTATAAACCTAACACTCATTATCTAATCTAGACAGACCCTTTAAACTACACAACAGTAGAAACCCAATGGTTTTTATATTTTCACCGGATTTGAATAGTTTTCCAACAATGGTTTGAAACTAAACATTAAATACAGAAACTCCTGCTAAAACAACACAACTAAATGATACATGAGTTGTAGTGTCTTAATATCAGGCATTATGTGTGATACCATAATGTCAAATCATATGTTATATACTCATTATCAAGTCGTATGTGTGATACTCATAATATCAAGTCCTATGTGAAATACTCATAAACCCAAACTCATAATATTGGGCCTTAATATACACATTGTTGCCAGGAATTTAGAAACATTAATTGGTCTTCTATGAAAGTAAATAACAAAACAAACAAATGTAAAATCATTTTTGTGTATTTTTGTCCTGAATTGTCTCCTTGTATGTAATGTGTAAACTGGACTGTACGTATTTGCCAAGAAAGAAAGCTTATTGGTGTTTTTTCAGGCGTTAAAAATGTCACAAGCGGAAGTGGATACAATTGCGGCTTCCTTTAATTCTAAAGATTTCACCAATTTTATGAGGCACGGTGTCAATGTAAGTGGTGTTAGATATATGTTTTTGAGAGTATTGGATGACAATAAGGTGAGTATTATTAATAAATACTTAAAGATACCTTCCCGTGTACAAAACGGGTGATTTGATGATATATTTGGACTAAATACATATCCAAACTAATTAATATATCAAAATTTTGCATCAAATCCTTCTCAAAACATTGTTTTCGCCCAGGAATACCCCTGCTATAAAAAATCTATTAAATGAAGTCATGTTTGTGTTACGTGACTTGGCTGACGCAATGCCTAGCAACGGGTGTAAAGCCTGGGGAGCATTCATTGCATAAGACGATGCTGTCTTTAATTACTTATTTGACCGCTTACCTTAATATCAAAACCCTTATAATCATCTTAACAATAAACTTACTACTCTCAAGCCAAATATTAATATAGTTAAAAGCAGTATACGCTTTAAAGGACCCAGACTATGGAATTCGTTGCTACCCCCTTTAAAAACTTTAAATGACTTGAATCTTTTCAGGAAAAAACTTCTCCTTTACCCCCGCCCTATATTTCTCATTACATGTATATGTATTCTGTGTATCTTCATATTATAAACATGCCCATATAGTATACTTGTTAACACATATTATACCTATGTGTTCAAACATTATGTTTTATGAACTCGAACAAATACTTAAATTAATCCTTTAACCAATTTGTATATATTTTTACCTCTATTGTAGATTATTGTGGTGTCTTATATTCTCTTATAAGCATTATTTTACCAATTCAATAGTGTGTTCTATCCTCTAATTAATATTATCTTACCAACTTAAATAGTGCGTTATATTCTCTAATTAATATTATCTTACCAATTTAAATAGTGCGTTATATTCAGTAATTGTTATCTCACCAAATAAAGTATTGTGTTATATTCTCTAATTAATATTATCTTATCAATTTAAATAGTGCGTTATATTCTCTAATTAATATTATCTTACCAATTTAAATAGTGCGTTATATTCAGTAATTGTTATCTCACCAAATTAAGTATTGTGTTATATTCTCTAATTAATATTATCTTATCAATTTAAATAGTGTGTTATATTCTCTAATTAATATTATCTTACCAATTTAAATAGAGCGTTATATTCTTTAATTAATATTATCTTACCGATTTAAATAGTGCGTTATATTCAGTAATTGATATCTTACCAAATTAAGTATTGTGTTATATTCTTTAATTAATATTATCTTAGCAATTTAAATAGTGTGTTATATTCTCTAATTAATATTATCTTACCAATTTAAATAGTGTGTTATATTCAGTAATTGATATCTTACCAATCTAAATATTGTGTTATGTTATTGTCTTAAACACTGTGTTATATTCCTCAATTCTTATTATTTTACCATTTGGATTTCAAATCTTTGCTTAAATAGGTCTTGTCGGGACTAATGTATTATCAGCAAGTTTAACTCTAGTTCGACTCAAACTAGATCAATTTGATACTAACCTATGGCACCAATATATTTTAATAAGTCGCTGGTAAGTAGGCGAATTTAGCAGTAGGACACTGGATAATTCATTACGCACCTGCTTGTCATCGAAACCATGCAATTTGCACTTTAGTAAGGTTTGATATAGAATACAATGAAATTTGAACAAGAAACACGAATAATTGTCCACCAGAGTTAGTTCTAGAAAAAGATTCGTTTGTGTTTAGAATCTCATTGAGGAACTGAGGTGAGGATTCGTTCTATGCAAAGGAATTTACAATAGATAGTACTTTATAATAGATAATTTGACAAACCTAAAGTCAACATTTATCTTTACGAACTAGGTTCATATGTTCAGATAAATGAGCGAATACTTGATTCAGATGATCCCTGTAGGCTGATTTAAAGATTACATTTTTACTCTTTATTACATTATAGGTTTTCGCTAAGCGGATAAACCACGGCGGCATTGTAATGGTGAGTTCAAAAACAGGTAAATCATTTCTTTTTAAAGATACATTTCCGTAACAATATTTATCCAATAAAATTATGCCCAGTTTGGTATGGAAAGTAGAGACAATCTTGCTAGAATATAATGGATGGTATCCTTAAATGGCGCTTCTAATGTGTTGATCTAATTGCGAACGGTTGTGGGGACAATGACGGAAAATGAAGTTGACAGAGGAAAATCTAGGGTTTTGCTTAGTCGTCGATATTTATTGTAAGCGGATGACAAATACAAGATCCCAACTGATTCTCCATTAATCACGCCGCGTTATAAACAAGTCCAAATCCCTTGGTATGGGGAGGTTGCTCCGTATTATAATGTTTTGAGAGACGATTTCAAGTAAGTTTTTGATAGATAATTTAGTTCGAATATGTTTTACTTCAAATATATCATTAAATCCCACAGTTTGTACGTTTGAGGGCATTTGTTGATTTAAAAAGCGGGGGTAAAAGGTAGTACTGGGCGGAGTCGTTGAGGATGGGATGATCGCCAAAAGAGTAATTTGGTAGACACGTCAATTCATTAGTGTTTGTAATCTTTGCCGATTGGTAATTAAAACCCGGTGATAACCTGAACAATACGTTTCTTGCTGGAAAACAACAAGTATAGTGAACGTGTCACTTTAGATAATTTAATCCAGACACAACGTGATAGCTAGTCACGTAACTGGGCGTATCACGGGAATTCAGATAGGGATTAAATTTTATTCACTCAAGATGATATTTATATTTAAGGTGTGGTTATTGCCCATTATCCAGAAGGCAGTGAAATGAACATTGCCGGAACACACGTTGCGCGTCTAGCTGAGTTCTTGGTGTCGGCCGGGTATTAATACCAAATTACCTATAAGATTATCTATAAGAATGACAACTTATTTCAGAAAATAAACTATTCAAATGCACAGTGTATTGTTTATGATAAATAAATAAATATGTACATACTAAATAGAGACCTTAATAGCAGTATCTCAATTCAACCACAGACGGGTAAGGATATATCTGAGAATGCGCCGTCTGAACGCGAACAATATAAGTTTCACACACAACTATGAGAGAGATGCATGCATAGACAACTATGTCTGCTGTTGAATTCCGGTTTTAAAAGGTGCCGTGTAATTACTGTAGGGAATTATTTGTTTATGGGGTGGGGAGGGGGAGGAGGTGTTGTTTGTAGCCTAATGCATCAACTTCATATCATAGGGTCCGCCGTCGATGACAGGGTGCTGGTTTCAATCCCATATTTATAGGTGAAAAGAAACGAAATGAAATGGGGTTTAACGTCCTACTGTTCTGCTCCTATGAGGGGCTAATGAAGACGGGCATACGCCATACAGTGTACTATGAGGGAAATTTTGCCCGGGCAGCGGCACTATCGCCTACTCTTATATCGAATTCCAACTGCCAAGGGATCTTTTACGTGCATTCCAATGTATACACGGGACCTCGATTTTTCATCTCATCCGAAAGAAGGACCTCCGTCCTGCATCACTGACAAGGGGGAACCACGCCGGAAAATCTGGATGAACTTTCTCGGCCAATGCAGGGATCGAACACCCGACCTCCAGGCTAGCGAGCCAGCGTCTTACACGCTTAGCCACGTGATCCCCCTAGGTGAAAAGAAGTAGGGAAGCCTGTCTAATAGTAGTGGGTTGTTCTCTTCAGACTTCCTCGCCACTGCTAGAGGAGTAGAGCGGCCAGTCTAATGCCAGAGGGGTTTTCTCCTCGGACTCTCTCCCCAATGGTAAAGGAGTAAGGTAACCTGCAAAATACCAGCGAGGTTTCTTCGGGCCCCCTCCCCGCAGCTAAAGAAACGTGCGCTAAGAAAATAATTGAAATAAAGATAGACCGTTCGATAATCCAACAATTTCCCGGTTTATGTTGCATCGAAATTAAATGGTGATAAATCTTTGAAATTCCTTTTCTGTCTAATATCAGAAAAAAACACCACCCGACCTAAACAAAAATGGCCGAATAATCCCGTTTAATAATGAATATGTCTAAACATACATTTGTTTTATCCCTCAGAAAGATAAAAATCAATGGCTTTTTTTTAAAACCAGGAACAGGTTGCATCTTTCAGGGTTTGATGCGATTTGCAAGTTATTAGATATTCGATGCGACTTGCAGGTTATTGGATATTCGATAAATTAAGAGATCGATTAACACACTCTTTAAACTCTTGTTTCTGTTAGAAATTAAATAATTGTTTCTGTTAGAATATGAAAATCTTGTTTCTGTTAGAATATGAAAATAATAATATGAAAATAATCTTGTTTCTGCTAGAATATGAACATAATCTTGTTTCTGTTAGAATATGAAAATAATCTTATTTCTGCTAGAATATGAAATCAAATGAAATGGGGTTAAACGTCCTACTTTTCTGTGTGTGTGTGTGAAATAGCTTTAGTTAACGTCCGCTTCCACCGATGTGATATCGCAGACAATTACATGTTATATATACATAGTGAAATATTTACAATGTGATTAGTGGAAAAAGGATAATTAGGATTTTATGTATATGTACAGAAAACAATAGATAACAGGACGAGACATGAGATAACAGGTACAAAGAATAAAGAGGTGCCAGTATACATTGACAAACAGACGAATTTGTGACAAAACAGACATGAATATGGACGAACATTTATATAAGGACAAACATTTACAGACATGCACGCATTACGGACATTTGACAAAACAGACATAAATTTGGGCGAACATTTAGACATAGTACATGTATGTACATATATATATAAATATATATATATTTATATATATATATATTTAGGTCGTTTTCGTCGGTCTGGTCGATTTGTCCGGTTGAATGGCAGGTGCAACTCTTCCTTGGGGCTTGTTGGTGAGTGTATGGCCTGGACTAGTCTTCCTTCCATTTGGTTTTGTTGTCCGGCATGGGCTAATGTAGACGGGCATGCACCATGCAGTTTCAATAAGCGAAATTTTGCCCGTACAGCAGCGCTACGACCTACTCTTATAACGCACTCCAAATGCTAAGGGTTATTTTGCGTGTACGCCAACGTGTACACCACGGTTTATCGTCCTATCCGAAGGCCTATAATTTGTCCTACAGCACTACGCCGGAAAATCCCGATGACTTTTCTCGGCCCACGCAGGGACAGAACAATAGGGCGTTAAACCCCATTTCATTTTCCACGGTAGTCATGTGACAAACAAGGTGTATGTTAGTTATCTTTCACCATGCTTAAGAAATACGAACGTCTGTTGTTTTTTTTATACGCCAACATTTAAATGTGGGCGTATTATATCGTCTGTCATGCCCGTTCGTTGGCTCATCAAAGTAAGACTCGCTATCGATTTTCACTGAAACGCAAACTTACGTTCCGGAGTTACCCCACTTGTCTGGACACTTCGTTAACGCGATGGTATCTACAGTTTTAAGCGAATTGATTTTAAATTTGGTATAAGCTTGGGTCATGGGGGCCGATACTACGCATCCTTCCGTTCCAGAATTGCCCCAACTCCTTCCTCAGAAAACCTTGCTAACGCAATAGGGGCTACAGTTATTAATGAATTCTTTTCCAAACTTATTTTAAAGAGTTGGTATGATGAGAGACAAACTCTGTCTATACTCAGCGTTCTGTGGTCTTCTGTTCCGGAGCTACCCCTTCTCCCTATTCTTGTTAACAGTTTTTAAATTTGTTCTTCCAACTTGGACATGAAACATTGAGGTCATGACCTTGAGTTCCGGAGTTACTCGAGGCGGTTAATCTGATGTTGGGTTGCGGCTGCTGTGTGGGCGTATTACGTTATCATCTTTATATCATATATATAATAAATTAGGCATATAATATCGTCCACTCGACACAAACTGGGTCATTTCGGGACTAACATATGGTTTCATTTTATTTCAATAATTCATTTGGGCGTAGGGTTTTTTAGCAGTAGGAGCAAACTGGAGTGCCCGGAGAAAAACGTTATGATGTAACGCCATCCAAACCCCCTCTATTTAAATGGATATTGTGGTTGTTGTGTTTAGACATTATTATACCTACTGCTATCGCCACAAAACCTAATTCAACCCAGTATGCATACGAACTGAAGTACTTGATTTGCCTCATTATACAGTTAACAGGCGCGTGTCCAGAGGAAGAGGCAAGGGGTCCAGATCCCCACCCCAAGGTTCGCACACAGAATTTTTTCCTTCTCCTACATTCATCAAAATAACGTCTAACAAACTAACTTCACTCCACTATAATCCTTTACATGTATGCACCTAAATGAGCAGAACTGTCATCTCACAGTTTCGGATTTTATTAAATTGTCAAGTTATCCCCCAACCCTCACGCCAAACTTGACGCTGTCTCCACCCGGGCCACTAGCGCTTAAATCCTTGAACACACCCCTGGTTAAATAATTATATATTGTAGATTGTGCATATTTAACTAATCCTGCGTGATTCCAGCTTTTAACAATACAACGCTGTCCACAATCAAACTAAAATTAAAATGTCTATTTCAAAATGCACAAAGATATGTGATAAAAAGAGTATATGCAAATAAATAAAATGCATATGAATATTGGCATTATGAATTCGCGTGGCTGTGACAATAGGTAAAGAATGTTATATTTGTAACGGGTACATGCAAATATATAGAATGTACATGGAGGTGAGGTTTATGAAGCCGCGTGTCTGTGACAATAGGTAAAGAGTGATATAACTTTAATGGTTGGTGTATTAAGTCGTGTGGCTGTGACAATAGGTAAAGAGTTATATTTTTAATAGTTAGTGTATATAAGTCTATATGGCACCTGTTTTTGTATATCTTTCTGTACACCGAATCGCTGTATCTACAGATATTTACGACATCTACCCCTGAACAACAGTCATGAGAAGCTTAATGGTAAGATAAAAATCTATATTGTGTATTGTTGAGTATGTTTAATGAAATGAAATGAGGTTAAACGTCCTACATTTCTGCCCAAACTGGGATATTGAAAATGGGCATACGTAACGCATTATGAGGGACATTTTGCCCGTACATTTCCTTTCCTGGTAACATCTTCTTTATACCGATTGGTGTAGATACGTAGACAGTAAAACACCATTTCATTTCCTGATAACATGTTCTTACCGGTGGGTGCAGATACGTGGACGGTAAAACACCATTTCATTTGTAAAATCACGACATAAGCACGCCAGACATGTATCAAATAATAAACACTAAAGACAAAATATCAGTAACAGAAAAAAAACAGACACCCGAGGGTTTGTGTTTAAAAAACCTGTACTTGTGCTTGACAATTACTTTGACAGGTGCGCCATTTCCAGTTTTGTATTCAAGACATACTTGTATTGTAAAAACACAATTTGAGACCTATTTGTTATACACTGTGTGTCTATTTCAGATCACCGTCTGTATTGCCCTGTGCACAGTTACATTTGGAGAATCTAAAATAAGAAGCAGGAGACAAGTTGCTTATGGATACGGTGCTGTAGATCCCGCTGCTTATGGTGGGGCGGTGGTTGATCCAGCTCAGTATGCTACTTATGGTGCAGCAGCCAATCCAGCTGCTTATCAACCTGCTTACCAACCAGCTGCAGCTGCTTATGGCAATGCTGCTTATGCACAACCAGCTTATCAACAAGCAGCAGTTAACCCTGCATATGCTCAACCTGCCAGTCCATACGGTTATGCTATCACTCCTTAGAGTACTAATTCTATTTGAAACACGACCCTTGTTGGACAGTCTGAAAATATCCTCCAATATGCGATGGGTTGGGGGTATTATTTGAAAAGATTTTTGACGCAGCATAATGCATGTATGTGTATTTAAATGATGGTGTATGATTTTTATTCTTGTAAATGTATTATATTAAATAAAAGTGAGTTAATAATGTTTAGACTTATTATATGAAATACAAATATATAACAAGCGGTTGCCATGCAAGATATGCCCACATTTTGCAAGAGATGGACAGAAAACAAGCTAAAAAAAGGGATTTTTCGTACAATTCAGGGGACATAATCCAGGAAATTTTTGTCCGATATGCGGGAATATCAACATGAATCGAAATCTCGGGTATAAAAACATATGTTTTAAGTTTCATCAAAATCAGATAAAAGTTATGACCTCAAGGAGCGGCCATTTTTTCGAGCAGTTTTGGTCTGATTTTCACGAAATTCGAACTCAACCTTCCCAACGATGCAACCGTCATATAGCTCAAAGTTTTTTTACAATCTGATAATAATTGTGATCTATAGAGGGTCAACATGCTAAAAACTGGATTTTTGTAAAATCAGGGGCCATAATCTAGAAAGTTACGATCCGACATGTGTGAATATCATAAGGAACCGAGATGCTTGGGATATAAACGATTATCGACTGGAACCGAGATCTTTGGGACACAAACACGTTTTAAGTTTCATCAAAATCTGTTTAAAATTGTGACCCCTAGAGGGACCACGATATTAATATTACATACTATCTACAAACATAGAGCGGCCATTTTGTCCAGCAGTTTCGGTCCATTTTTCATGAAATTCCACACGATCATGATTATGGTGTAACAGTTTTTAAATCGGATAAAAATTTGTGACTTGTAGTTGGATTACAAGCTAAAAACGCGAATTTTCGTCCGATATCAGGGGCCATAATCCAGGAGGTTGCGGTCCGATGTCGGAGAATATCGAAAGGAACCGAAATCTGTGGTTTATAAACTTATATTTCAAGTGTCATCAAAATCACAACTGACACCTTTCGAGGGTCCACACCATTGGCATTACATACTTTAACACTATTTGCAAACATAGAGCGGCCATTTTGTCTGGCAGTGTCGGTCCAATTTGCACGAAATTCAAACTCAAATATGGTATAACAGTGATATACGTGACCGGTTTTTGAAATCAGATAAAAATTGTGGCATCTAGGGGGACCACAAGCTAAAAACGTGATTTTTCGTACAAACAGTGGCCATAATCCATGAAGCTTCGATCCGATAAATTGTGGCATCTAGGGGGACCACAAGCTAAAAACGTGATTTTTCGTACAAACAGTGGCCATAATCCATGAACCTTCGATCCGATACATGTCAATATCGAAAGGAGCCGCAATCGGTTGGAGATAAACCTATATTTCAAGTTTCGACAAAATCGGATAAGAATTGTGACCTGTAGAGTGTCCACAAACAAATTGTGAACGAACACACGGGCGGGCGGGTGGACAGAGGCGACGACAATAATATGTCTGCATTAAAAGGTGGGCGTATAAAAATTGTATGTTGGTGGAAAAGTATGGAAGCCTATAACTACCATTCATAATTTCTACTTTTCGCCTCTTCAAAACACGAAAGTCGAAAAGTAGAAGTTACGACAAAATTTGAGGCGACAACACGCTATACAAACCAAAATCAACTCGAAAATAGGAAATTAAGAAATAACACACAGCGATAATAGCGCCCCTCGTTTTTTCCTAATTTCTTATTTTCGACTTGCATTTTGGCTTGTATACCGTCTTGTCAGTAAGAAGGCGCCAACACGCTATACAAGCCAAAATGCAACTAAACAATATCAAAAGTATCAATACAGATGACATGGGCATTTTTGGTCGCAAAGATATAGAGAAACGCTGATAAATCAGGAATTAACCAACACCCATCGCCGGAAGATGATTGGGGGTTTAAGGAAAGACAGTATGGAATCTTATGGTTTAATGGTCCTGAACTATGGGAGTCATTGGTTGAGGAAGACATTGAAGAATTAGGAACCTGATGATGCTTAATTTTATGGAGATGGTTGCCTCTCCTAAGTAAGGTTCTGGTTGATTGGGTCTTGATTGATATCTGCAATAACATGACATAGATCTATGTTTTAAATGACTCTTAGTATGAAGGAAGTGGGCGGTAATGAATCAGTGTTACTATCAGAGATCAAGAGGAAACTTAGCATTGCGGGCATATTGCACTGCTTGACACTGATTTTTTAAGGTTATTGGTCACATCTGCTGTTCTTAAGTTCATTTACCACCTAAATATTCATTCTTAAGTTTGTGGTTGTGAATCCTATGATCAGTCCCTACATTTTAAACCTTGTTCCAATGTCGCACCTTGCATGTTAATTAAATTTCTAATTAGGAGTCATTCGGTGCAAACCAGCATTATTCTCTTCTTAAGTACGCTGACCACCAGAAATTTCATTCTTAAGTTGATGATAATGATTTCTGATATCATTCCGTGCAATTTAGGCTTATGCTTCCTCAATCGCACCTTTCATGTTGATTAACATTTTAATTACCGATGGGGGTCGAGTGATATTTTCGTTATTTTTGAGATTATGTCATACTTTTAGCTGAAACTTCATTAATTTTATGTCTCATATTTTTGCTCCTAGCAGTATCAAAAATGTCCGTGTAGTTTTGTGCAATATACTTGGAATAGATCACGAGATAATGGAAAAATCGTTTTCAGTAAAATCGAAAAATTGCTAATTAGTGACCTTTGACCTCTTCTTAAGTGACCTTTCCACCAAAAATCCTATTCTTGAGTTATATTTCCGAAATCAGGGCACATTCCTCTATCAAATGCCATTGAAGTGGCTCCTCCTACCACACCCACCACTGGCGCAACTTAAGAATTGGGTTTCTGGGGTCTCCTAACCCAGCCATACACCACTAGCATGCCAAACCTTCCGCAACTTCCATGTTGAACAAAACCCACCTAGCTCCCGGACTAATAGGAAATTAAGAAATAACACACAGCGATAATAGCGCCCCTCGTTTTTTCCTAATTTCTTATTTTTGACTTGCATTTTGGCTTGTATACCGTCTTGTCGACTTTCGACTTAGTCATATTTTTGTATTTATTAATGTCAGTAAGAAGGCGCCAACACGCATACCAAGCCAAAATGCAACTCGAAAAGTAGAAATTAGGAAATTAACACACCACGCTATTAGCGACTTTTCGCCTCGGAAGTTGTAGTCTCAGTTTTCCAGGTCGCATTTGAATACGTGTAATCAGGGCTCACACTGTATTTCATTATTTTCCGTCAAAATGGATAATAATATTTATATAAAAAAATGTTCATATTTTTTTTCCGCCAACTGGGATATTTTATCTGCCAAAAATGTCTGATAAAAAAAAAAACACACCTTAGGCTACAACAATTTAATTTATTATATAGGCCTATTATAAAACAAATTTCCCGTACCAATATATACAATATACAACAACATACATGGGGATTGGGTGGTCTAGTGGTTTAACACGTGTGCGTGAAATCACAAGGTCTGACATTGATTCTAGTGGTGTGGTTTCGATTCCCCGCTTAAAAATGACAAGGGAGTAGGGTCGCTTGTCCAACCTTGTGGTTTTCTCCGGATACCCAGCTTCTATCCACTGCTAAAGACACCTACGTGCAAACGAATTATTGAAATGATTTAGTTTGCAACGAGTGGATGTTAAGCCAGCCTGGATGTCGGGTGTTCGATCCCTGCATTGGCTGAGAAAGTTCATCCAGATTTTCCGGCGGATTCCCCCTTGTCAGTGATGCAGGACGGGGTGGGGGGAGGCTGACAAGGACAGCTGTCTAGTTGTTCAGATGGGACCAAAATAACATTGGCGTACTCGTAAAATATCCCTTGATAAAAAAAACACACCTTAGGCTACAATTTAATTTATTATATAGGCCTATTATAAAACAAATTTCCCGTACCGATATATACAATATACAACAACATACATGGGGATTGATCTGGTGGTTTAACACGTGTGCGTGAAAACACAGGGTCTGACATTGATTCAAGTGGTGTGGTTTCGATTCCCCGCTTAAACATGACAAGGGAGTAGGATTGCTTGTCCAACCATTGTGGGTTTTCTCCGGATACCCCAGTTTCTATCTACTGCTAAAGGCCCCTACGTGCAAACGAATTATTGAAATGTTTTAGTTTGCAACGAGTGGATGTTAAGCCAGCCTGGAGGTCGGGTGTTCGATCCCTGCATTGGTCGAGAAAGTTCATCCCGATTTGCACGTAGGTGTCTTTAGCAGTGGATAGAAGCTGGGTATCCGGAGAAAACCACAAGGTTGGACAAGCGACCCTACTCCCTTGTCATGTTTAAGCGGGGAATCGAAACCACACCACTAGAATCAATGTCAGACCTTGTGATTTCACGCACACGTGTTAAACCACTAGACCACCCAATCCCCATGTATGTTGTTGTATATTGTATATATTGGTACGGGAAATTTGTTTTATAATAGGCCTATATAATAAATTAAATTGTTGTAGCCTAAAGTGTGTTTTTTTTTATCAGACATTTTTGGCAGATAAAATATCCCAGTTGGCGGGAAAAAAATATGACTCGGTAGACTATACAGTATTGTGTCATGATGAAGACAGTAGACCACAACCACTGTCTTTATTGTTTAACCAATTCATTCAATTCTATATCCTCATATAAAACAATCAATTTTTTCCTTTTCTGAATATTTTATGGACCCAACATCAATCTTAATTATTATATTTTCGACGTTTTTGTGCCGTTATCATGGGCAACCCCGTTACTGTTTGTCACGTGGCACTTTGACGTTATTGGTGGTCCAACGCAACTGCAAGCGCACATACAACAAGATTGTTTTCTGATTTTGATATAGACGCTTAAGGCGTAAGATCCATCAGCGATTAAAAGGATTGCTCGAAAGGCTACAGTCTAAATACAGCTTTATGGTTATAGTACATTCGATGCATACGGCAGCAACCCGGTTCTACTCACTAACCGTCGTTATATACCATCCTCATGCACGCGCAGAACTGATAGCGACACTAAGGAGAAAAACTCTACGGCACCTGGTTAGCCGTACGAAAAGCGTTTGTTTACAATTCCGACGACTATAGTCTTTATCA